TGGACCATAGAATTGATTTTCAATCAGCAAACATATTAGCCACGGAGAACAGCACAAAAAATAACTTATTTGGAAATGTCTTTCATCTCCCAGGAACTGAAGTGTATCAACAAAAGAGCAGATTTCAACCATCTGAGTGAAATTCATTCATATCTGCTTTCAATTGATAACCACAATATGTCATTATTAATCGAACTATAATTGTATGACCTGCGTACTATCTTCTTCTAATCCTCTTGTGACTAACACACACCAGGACGAGGTACCATATGACCTAAGTCACCACATTCTCAGTTCCATCTCACCACTGAATTGGAAGAATAAGGTTCAGTTTCCCAACCTACGATTTTCATTCCGACACACGCTGTGACAAAAAATGTCTTTATTAACAAAAATCACTAATTTTCTTAATATTTTGACCTAGTATTTTAATTTTTGTAATTGTCATGTTCCAGATATGTTATACAACAATTTTTATATATACTTTATTCGTACATAACATCGATGTAATCAACGTCAATGAGTTGAAAGTACATCACTTAATATTTAACTAGTTACGCTAATTGATTTAACATTTCGTAGTCTTCCCCTGATGATAGAAATGATGATAGGCTTATATATATTGTATTCATTGTAGACCTTGAATATATTCACTACCTATAATATGTCCCTTCACCATTTCACTCAACTATTCTTTTCAACACCACGCCCATAACAACAACAACTCCAACTACCCACCGAATCTCCTCCTCCTTCCGAAACAGATGAATTCAACCGCTTCTCTGGAGTCATTCAGTTGAGGTTCAATATTGCCATTGAGCACCAAGGTTATCTCCAGACTCCACCACTACCAGTCAAGGTGATTAGATGCAAGGCTATTTAACTCTATAAGGTTGCCTCATATTGTTCTGGCCTGACGTCACTGTTTCCCCAGTCGTCTTTTGTCGAGCGGCAAAATGATAATGGCGGAGGTGATGAACAAAACAAACAAATTCAGCATTGTGCAATCCAATGAATTTTGATGAATTGTGAAGTTTTCCAATATCTTTTTGTATTTACGAGATAGTTGACTGTTTTCCCAAAACATGCAGCAAGTACAGAAGACTGTGAAAACAGAAATCTAGGAAGATATGTTCAGGTCCTCAGTGCTCCTATTGTACGGACACATTACAAAAACACACAATCAAATTCTCATTGTAATATCACACATATTATGCAACTTCACATATTCCAAGTCTCCATTCCTGAAATTTCATGTATTTTTTACCTGTGTGTGATAGATCAAAAGTGCTCCTTCATACCTGTCAATATAAGTCCCTATAAAATGTGTTTAGAAAACCGTGACATGCCTGCTTCCTTTCGAATTATTTGAATCTCATGTGGAGGCTGCCCAAGAGCAGATGATTGTGAATACAGGCATTTTATTACATTTGCTTGTTATATATCCACTCTTGACTCCACACATAATAATATTATGATGTGACCAGCCTTGAATAGTCTCTAGGCATCTTAACCATATTATTATACAACCTCTCACCTCTTCAAAGATATCTTCAGTCTTCTTGTCACCATGTTTTCAACTAAAGTCTAAAATTCGCGATTCTTTCGAATTCAAATTCAAAATTTTTTTCAATCAATTTGACAGTGACACAAAACGAAATCTACAATCACACGGCGGGGAAACAGTGACGTCACGCCCCTCCGCGCACCCCCGCACCCTAATGCTATACTATGAGGTAACCTTATAGAAGTTAATAGACCTTGGATTAGATGTCGTTCAGCCGCCGATTGAATTCGACAACTGAGGGACCATGTGACTCCTGCGACATCATCGAGCAGATGAGGAACTGTAACGTGGGAATTGAGGTTGCAAATCAGGAGGCAGAAATGGTGGCAGCGGATGAGAAAGAGTGCGGCAAGGATGACCTAGCGGCGGAGGAAGCTAAAGTGGGAGATGACGAAAGACATGATCAGCGACGCAGGAGAGCCGATCGACATAGACGGCGCCTTTGACACCACCAGCGTCGAAACCAATTCTATGGAATCGATGTTTTCCAATGAGAGCAGATGGAGCTCGACAGCGAAGACGAGCGAGAGCTTCATCGTTTGATGCGAGCAAGAATTATATCTTTGTTATTGTTTTTTTCACATCCACATTTCATCGATTATCGTAATATGAGTTTACGATACGAATATAGTACAATATTTTACCTACAACCAAAAAGCTAATTATTTTTATCAAAAATATTCAATATTCCTTGAACTGACGATTCATTAGGAATATGTAACAAGCAAGCGTTGCAAGGGTTGGGCGAATGGTTGTCGTGAATCTATTGTTTTCTCGGCTGTCACTCATTCGGCGAACTGTCAACTTTGACGCGTTAATTTCAGGAAAGTTAAGATTCCAATATAGAAATTGCGGCGAATGCAGCAATCGAAACTCTAGTACCTGCTATATTCATGATGAATTGGTTCTCATTTCTTCTTTTGAGTAAAAATATAATTTGAAATTATATTTTTTTCACTTTACCGCACTAGTGTGAAGAAGTGTGAAGTGAAGTGAAGTATCTCATTACGATACAGAAATCATATTGGTAGTAGGTAAAATGAATTAAATTCATGAAATTTTTCTGATGTGATCTGTATTTCGAAAGAACTAATCATTATATGATAGAATTCTATATATTTTCTTGATATCTATATGATTCCAACCAAATTATGTAAGAGGAAAGAAATATCCAAAATAAACAAAAAATATATAGGAAGTCATTCCGCATTCTCATCGCTGGCTACTTCACAACACTACTGTACCACTTTATTTCTCATTGTGGATACCGCTCCACCTCTCAAGCACTATATAAATAGATTATGGCTGCAATGAGGAATATCATTGATGAAATCAACGTTATTACCATGGTGACTGAGTAAATTTTCCAAAACAAGAGTAGACGATTATATTTGCGGTCAAATTAATGTCATCAAAGATAACTTATACTCATTTTGAGTTCGATTATATCATTTTGCATATCAGAAATATCTATATAGAACGGTGTGCTATTAGATAATAAACCATCAAAACTCAAACATAGATGTCCTGAGTTATACAGGATTGCTTATCACAAGTTACCTACACACCGGGTGATAAGGTAGTCAGCGGGCGGTAAAGTGCCACTTTAAGCTCTCAAAACAGGACAGTAAAGGGCAACTTTATGCCCATTAGTGCATAAGATAACTTCTATGAGGTCGAAAATATGTCAGCTAATTTATCACATATACATATTTTCGTGTAAATGTGTGCCTGTGGTTTGACTTGATCTGAGAGAACTTTTTGTTCTTCCTAATCTGGTTTTTGCAGGTTGAGTGCAATAAAAATATTTTTACATTCTTTGTTAAGCTGATGAATTCAATTTTCATATAGGTTACTCTTTGTCTCCTTCTATACCTATATTTTCGGAGTTCTTCAATCCTGAAATGAATGTATCTATATTCACCTACTACACTCACCGGCCAAAAAACAACGGTCTCCAAAACATCTGCCCAACTTGTTCTTTCTGTAACTCTCTCAATCCATTTTCGATTTTAATGAAATCTCGATCAAATCGTTGATTCATATTACGGAATGTTTGCCTTGATATAAGTTTCTGTATAAAGCTGATGATTTCATTATTATTTGGATTGAAGTGTGATCCTTTTTCATCACAATAGTTTCTGATTCACGTCAATATCCAATTTTCAAGAGGAGATACGAGTGTTTTGAGAAAGTATGTAATCTTTCAGTTCTTATTAACAATAATCAGAACCTTCATTTTATTGATTAACAACTTGAAGAATTATTATTACCTATTTCTACCTCATTTTCTTATCACTCACCGAAACAATAACAAAAAAAGTACAAAAAGCAGACATGTAGTCAATAACGTGTATGCCCTAGAGTTTGAATTACAGCTCTCAACCGCCGTGGCATCGAGTTGATTAAATGTCTCAAGTAGTCTTGAAGAACTTCCTAAAATCCTCCTCGTAGGGCGCATCATAGCTCTTTAAGAGTGTCTGACAAGGCCAGATAAAGGCGGCGAATGAGCCTCTGGAGTTCATTCCTCAGATGCTCTATAGATGTTCTGAATTATTGTTAGTGAAAAGTAAAAAATTCCATACTCTCCGAGAACAGTTGCATCTGCTCCTATAAAGTATACATTGACGTGAATCTAGAAACATTGTGTTAAAAAGGGGTGAAAAAGGATCATACTTCAATTCAAAACATGATGGAGCAGCAGGTTGGAGGATGATTCTGAATTATTGTTAATAAAAATAAGAACATTCCATACCTTCTTACAACACTTGTATTTTTTCTCAAAATGTGGTTTTCGATGTGATTCAAAAACCATTTGGTTGAGAAGGAATCACACTTCAGTCCACAACATAATGAAGCTAAGTTCAACCACTCATCTTTGCCACAGGGCGGGAAGAAGTTGAGGGTGGAAGAGTAACTTTTGTTTTTCCCTGTATAATGATCAAGCCATCAGCTTCCCTCGGGATCTAATACTCAGGCTAACATTCCGGAACAAGAATATTCGATTTAGGTGAAATTTCGCGTAAATCGGACAAGAATTGAAAATGTTACAGGGCAAACAATTCGCATAAGTTTTCTGGTGGCCGGTAAGTGTATTAAAATTTCCAGAATGTGATGATAATGTGGATATTCCATTTATATCTCTCAAGAGTCCCAAGCAAGACTCACAATACTCGATACTGGACGTGTTGATAATTGTTGAGGTATGTATACCTGAAATTTGAAATTGATTTCACCCGGTATATCTACCGAAATCTAACTGGTCGGCTAATGTGATGAGTTCGCACTATTAGTATCCTATATACGTTTGTATTTCAGATATAGGGCCTATTATCGATCTCTCAAAGTTCACAGTTTCTCAATAACGGCCCTGATGTGGAAGTTAGGTGGTTGCTTAGCAAAGTGTTTATTGACGGCAAACACGTTATATTTGTTCGTTCGTCTTCATTATCTGCGATTGACACCTCGTGATATTTGGCAAGAAAAATGGGGGACGACGACAAGAAAAAGGACGATGAAGACGACAGGCTCGAATTCCTGTTGACCTATCTCACGAAGTCTTATAGACTGAAACAGGAGAAATGGAACAAGATGCTTGCCCTAGAGGAGAACAAGGTAGGGGTATTTCTATTCAACACTGTCATTTTATGTACACACGGTGGTCCAGAATAGGTCGCGTGCATGTTGGAATAGTATTTCCACTGTGGTCGCGTGCACGATCCTGGAAGAGGAACATTGAAACACAACCTCACTTTTCTGTAAAACATTCTAAGGAATCGAAAGATTTGAACACCTTTTCACAATATTTCTGCAGTGTTTTTTTGGCTATTCATTTAATTCAGCATGCCATCACATTATGCTTTTGTACAATGCACAAAAAATGCAGCCAGAGACGAAGGAAAATAATTTTTCAGGTGATTAGTGATCTCACATAGTTTTCATAATAAAATTTTGTCATTTGTCATTAGAATTCCTCCTGCAATAGTAGCCATAACTGCTAATAGAGTGAAAGTGTCTACAACTCACACGATCATATTTCGTTAGCATGTCAGACCAGTCCTCCTGTTTGATTCTTGGTCCAATTTTATTCTTAATTTACATCAATTCAATATCATCTTTGAAACTGAAAGGAGATCTGAAGTTATTTTTAGATGATACTACAATAATCTATTCCTCTAAAGAATTTAACGATATAGTTGATGATATAAAAAGTGACTTGAAAATGATATCATCTTCTCTACAAATTCATAAGCTGACCCTTAACTATGACAAATCTACGTATATGTATATTTCAAAAAGAAAAACTGATATGTCGAAAACAACAATATTTTTCAACCAGAAAGCCATAAAATATTTAGATATTACAAAATTCTTAGGTCTTTATATTGATGAACAATTATCGTGGACTAAACATATAGATCACCTGAGAAAAAAAGCTCAATCCAATTACTGGCATTTAATATAAAATTCGAAATTTCATTCCTCTTAGATATTTGAAGAATATATATTTCTGTCTGATTTACTCAAAATTACAATATTTAATATCAATTTGGGGAAGCACAAGTATATCACATTTGAAACCATTAATGAAATTACAAAATAAAACAATTAAGTGCATTTACAATTTACATTACCTGGAACCAACTATTAATCTTTACAAACCAAAAATCTGTTGAATTTATCATCTTTATATAAAATGAAGATTTGTTCTTTCATCCATTTTGTGAAAAAAAAAATATCCAACTTGAACTTTACTGAAGTAAATACAATTCATACTCATGCAACGAGACAGTTGAATTCATTAATAGCAAACCCATATAACTCCATCATTGGCAAACAATCAGTATTCTACAACGGAATCATTTTATATAATTCATTACCTTATGACTCGCCTTATGATTTGAAACATATTGATGATGAAACAAAATTCAAAGTCAATATGAAAAAATATATACTCATGACACAATAAACGGAGCAATTTTTTCTCATTTGAATACTTGGAATGGTTTTATTTTAATTATTATGTTATATATATATATATATATATATATATATTTATCATATGTTTATGTATCCCTATTATAAACAAATATGTTTCTTGGGGTAATAAAGAACAACAACAACAATTACATGAATCCAATCTTGCCTTCTTTCAGAAACTTCACGAGTATTCCTATTGCATTAGGAATTCCAATGAGAAAAGAACAAATTTTCAAAATGGATACCATATATGTATACCAATAGTACCTACTTTTGAATCATAAAGTTACCTACCTGGAAAATCGGATTCCTTCGTCTCTCGCTGCTTTTTTTGTGCATTGTACAACAGCACAATGTTATGGCATGCTTGAATTGATGAATAGCGAAAAACACGATTTGTTTTTCAAAATTATTTCAATTCTTTCTAAACATGAGAAAAGCGAGGTTGTGTTTCAATGTTTTACCTGCGGGGTCGGTCATCTGACAGATCTTCTACGCAGCCCCAGAATCTCTCCCGATATTTTTGATGCCTATAGTACAGGGTCTCTATAAATGATCGTAACATCGTAGTGGCTGTTGACATTTCTTTTCCATTTGCCACTTTCTACTAATGCTGTTAACAACATTTATCGATCAAAAAAAGAGGAAGTGATCATATACAGGATCTTTCTTTATATCGTTTTGCATACAATATGGAAATGTATCTCAAAGAAAGAAGAGTCCAATATTAGAGTTTGAAAAATAATGGAACAAATCAAAAATATTTATTAAAGAAGTAATAAATAACGGTTTACTTCATTAACCTACATCAAATATTCAAAATGATCTCCGTTGTTCTCCAAGCATTTCAAAACTCTTCGCCGTTTGTTGTCGAAAATGTTCCTCAGCATTTCCGGGCCAATATTTCTTCAAGGTTATTATTTTTTTTCTTGAATACTTCGTCTTTCGAATATCCAATAAGGCAGAAATCCAAAGGCGTCAAATCTGGAGATCGTGTTGGAAAAGAAGGATCAACTCCTCGACTTATTACACGGTTGTCATAAAATTCTTGTAAATATTCTGAATTTGCACGTGTGGTGTGGGCAGTGGCCCCATCTTGCTGAAAATAGCCAACTCGAATTTCATTCATCAATCAAGTTGAATGGTTCTAACATCACTTGTCTGTACCTTTCACCATTGATAGTGCTATCGAAGAAAATCGGTCCATATATTCGCCTACGAGAAACTGCTAACCACACCCCAATTTTTTGAGAATGTAGTGGAGTCTCAATGAAATTGTGGGGATTCTCAGATCTCATCGCTGAAAAATGTTAGGTTCAATAGCTGGTCATCGTTGAGATTATTTTGGAACCATTGGCAGTACTGCAGACGATGTGGGATATCTATGGGCAGAAGTTGCTGTAGTACACTGGTCTTGTCAGCGTGCATATGCAATCTTCCAATCCTGAGCACTTTATGGCATGTACTTAGTGGCACACCAGATTGTAAAGATAGTCTCTTCAATGACGTTTGGGGATTTTGCTCAACACGCGCCCTTAGATTTTCGACAACTTTTTCCGATATTTGGGGCCTTCCTGTTGATTTCTTTTCATTAAGGTTTCCAGTTTGGATGAATCTGTTGATCACTGTTCTGATGTGGGCTTTCAAAGAAGATTCTTGAGTCTGAACATTAGGATATTTCGCCACGTACTCATCCTTGCAGGCTACTACCGAGTAACTACCTCCACCATTGATGAATGTGCCATTTCGACAATAAGACATCACAATAAATGTATTCTCCTCCGAGGAATAAGCCATCCCTCTTTTCAACACGACAATCACGAAGTAGAAAACAGAATCGTTTGAAAATTTCAACGAGAAACTGACAATTGTGAGTTTGAGTATGATGAGTGATGTCAGAAATTAAATTCGAATGTGTGAATCTCCATAAATGAAAGGCGGCAAATGGAGAAAATATTTCAACGGCTACTACGATGTTACGATCATTTATAGAAACCCTGTATATTCATTCAACTAACCTTCTCCAAAAGTGAATGATGAGGTAGACAAACCCCTTTGAAGGGATTAGTTGAATACCAGTTTTCTTCTAAAATCCTCTGCATGACAGCGCTGTGATATCAAATTCATATTTATCCATTAACCACCTGTCAATCTCTTGCCCTACAGATCGACCGCTTCAGGAGTATTGGATTGTACAATGGTCAAGTTACGCCTTGTTAGAGAGGTATATAAAATCTATTTACAACGGTCTATTATTTTTCAATTCGGTGAAAATTTGATGCAATTTTCGTCCAAATTATTGATGAGGGCGAGTACTGTTTAATTGTACAGGGTGTCTGAAATCCGAGCCTCATCATTGGGATCTCGTAAACCGTCAAAGAATACTGCATCGGCTGAATTATGGCAAAATAAGATGCTGTTGCTGAACTTGTAGGAACTTTCTATAGATATATTTTTGAGTTATATATGGATGAATTAATCGAAATGAATGACATTATATCGTAGCCACTTCTCTTCCCTACAAGTTAGCATTCTCGAATTTATTCCAGAAACCACCATCAAATTATTTTTTTAAGTAGGGGCCGGGATTTTTGAAAACATTTTTTCACACCTTCGGATATCCCAAAAGCTATGAGCTATCTTAAATTTTCATTTTCGGATGATTTGCGAATTTTTGTCATCGAAACATTAGAGAATAATAAGTTGTGATAGCTCCTGGCACTTGGAATTTGATGATGGTTTCTGAAAGACGAAACGCCGGATTTCAAATATGAAAACGCCAACTTGTTGGGAAAAAATAGTATCATTCATTTATTATAATTTCTTCGAAGAATCTTTCTAGGAAATGTCGTTTTTCTGTCGTCGTCGGAAGTATTCGGAATTTTTTAAGTTCAAAACATCATTTTGTCAGGGATAAAATTGCGCAACTTTGCCATAACTCAACCAAAGCTGTTTCTTCCAATTGACTCGCTCGTTTACTTGATGGCAATGCATAATTATTATTGAATTCAAATCTTCACGCACGATAAGATTTTCACAATATTTTCTATAAATCTTATGGCTGTCCAGTGTACATACCCTGCTGAATTTCAGGCGAGTCGGCAAATTGAGTTTGGGAAAGTTTCATGATAAATATATCTGTATTTTCTGACATCAAACTAGGAATTTACAACTTCAAAAATATCAAATTTCGATTTTGAAGTCGGAATTCCCAAGTTTCATGGTGGAAGTTTTCAGTTAAAACCAGGAACTTCCAACTGCAAGTTTTAATTTCGAGGTCGAAAAAATTGCATTTCGAATTTTGAGTTGGAAATATCAAGTTTCAATTCGAAAAAATTAATTTCCAGTTACAGGTTTTGAATTTGAAAATGAAATACTCTGTACCAACCCAGGATTTTCAACTGCGTACTCAGAATTTCAGACTCGTAGCTCATAGGAAATGCAATTTCTCATGTACCAGTATTCCCTGTTCGAACTCGGGATCTCGAAATTTCCTAGACTGATGATGACAGAATCTGTTAATATGATATTTGAAGTTTTTGTTAAATTTTAATACTCATTGAGTTTTAGTGAAACGTATTTTAATAATCCAGTCGTATTTTTAATTTTTGTCCAAAACGGAAGTTGGAGAATTC